TTCTCGCCCCTCCCTCCTCCATTCTACCCCTCTTCAGGTATGACGGCTTCCGGAGCCCTTTATTCCGGAGCCCTTTATTCCACTGCATGCTCCTCCACGTCCCTGATCGGGGCAACTCGCCAGGGCACAATTGTTGGATGGGCTGGTGGGGTTATGCGAAGCGTCCAGAATATCATCGCAGGGCGCGGCGTGATGTGACTGACAAGACATGCGGCCAAAACATGTGAGGTTAATGTTCCGTCAATTGTTGGGGAACGCGCCTCTTCTTTAAGCATGGCTGTGGATGCCATCCTCCAACTGCGGGTAAACGCGCGGCCTGATGGGTTCAAACATGTGTGCCAGTATCTCTCCATGTCTGCAATGTGCAATCCCAGTGCGACTGGGCTGATCTCAAATCCATCTTCACCGCATCCTCCTCCTCCTCCTCGTCGTCCTCCTACTCCTACTCCTCTTCATCCTCTCCAGTCTCGTTTTCTCCCTTGTCCGTTGCCCGTTCTCACTCCTTCATCCGCCCTCCTCCATTCTCTGTCTTCCTACACCTCTCTTCTCTACTCCGCCGTTCTCCGTCATCTGTCCTTCCTCCTCCTCCTCCTTCTCCTCCTCCTCCTCCCTCCTCCGTCCCCTAGGGTTGCCTGGGGTCCCAGTGGGGTCCAGAAGCTCGAAAACCACGATTCTCGACGCCCGATCTTCTTCCCTTCCCTACCCCCCTGCCCCCATCACCATCCTCCTCATTCTCATCCTGCTCCTCTTCCTCCTCCTCCTCACCATCATCATCACCATGACCATGACCATCACCAAAACATCATCACCCCCCCCATCATCACCATCACAAGCATCATCACCCTCATCATCATCAACACCCTGACCATCAACACCACCATCACCATCAGCATCACCATCATCACCATCAACATCATCATCATCATCATCATCATCATCATCATCATCATCATCATCATCAGCATCGTCATCATCAGTCGCATCCGCATCATAACCACCATCATCAGCATCTTCAACACCATCATCATCATCACCATCATCATCCGCATCAGTATCGCCATTACATCATCACCAGTATCATACCAACAGCGTCATCATCAGCATCATCACCTTCCTCCTAACCACTATCACTATCACAACTGCCAAACCCAATGACAATATCAATCCCAACATCATGGCGATAACTATGACCATGGCCATGGCCATCATCATCACCATCACAATCACAATCATCATAACCATCACCATCATCAATCCCATCATCAGCATCATCATCATCGTCATCAGACTCATCATCACCACCACCACCACCATCATCATCATCATCATCATCCTCATCCTCATCCTCATCTTCCTCAGTGTCCTCAACAGCATCACCCGCATCACCATCATCAGCATCCTCATCACCATCAGCACCAGCGTCAGCATCACAAACATCATCATCATCATCATCATCATCATCATCATCATCAGCATCAGCATCAGCATCAGCACCTCCACCATCATCATCATCATCATCATCATCATCGTCATCATCATCATCATCATTCGCATCATCATCCGCATCATCAACCTCAGACTCATCATCATCACCACCATCATCATCATCATCAGCATCGTCATCAGCACCATCACCACTATCACCATTGCCATCATCATCATCATCAGCATCATCATCACCATCATCACCTCATCATCAGTATCATCATCATCACCACCATCATCAACATCAGCATCATCATCACATTAATCATCATCACCCTCATCACCATCTTCGTCTACATCATCCAAATCCTCATCATCATCACTACTATCAGCATCGCCACCATCATCATCACACCATCATCAGCATCATCATCAGCATCTTCGTCACCATAATCGCCATCATCATCAGCATCATCATCATACTCGTCATCATCGTCATCATCAGCATCATCACCACCATCATTATCATCATCATCACCGCCGTCACCATCATCATCATCAGCAGCATCAGCATCAACATCATCATCAGCATCAACATCATCATCATCATCATCATCATCATCATCATCATCATCATCATCATCATCATCATCATCATCTGCATCCTCATCCCCATCCCCATCCTCCTCCTCCTCCTCCTCCTCCTTCTCTTCTCCTCTCTTCTCCTGTCTTCTCCTCTCTATGCTCCCCTCCTCTCTCCTCCGCCTGGTCATGCGCCGTCCGCTATGCCCGGTCGGTCCTGGCCCCAGAGAGCCGTCTGGCAGGTGGGCGTCCAGGCACGCGAGCCCAGAGCCTCGCGTGGAGGAGGAGGTGGACAAGGACAACATGAAATGGAACGGGAAGATTACGATCCGTTGCAGTGTGTTCACAGGGGCAGCATTGAGGATGAGGAGGAGGAGGAGAAGGAGGAGGAGGAGAGAGGGAAGGAAAAGGTGGCGACCCAGAATAACTTCATACATAGATATGTATATATATACATATATATATATAAGGAGAACAACGTGGTCTCTATATATGTGTGGAGAGAGGGAGGAAAGCAAGATAAAGATAACAAGAGAGAGAGAGGAAACAACAACAAAACAACAAACACAGGAGGAGAGAAAGAGAGAGAGAGAGAGAGAGAGAGAAGGGGCCGAGGGCGGAGCAAAGGGGGAGGACCAGGATAAAGGAGGGAGGTGGGCAGAGAAGGAGGCGTGATTATGATGCTGATGCTGATTCTTCTTCTTCTTCTTCATATTATTATGATGATGGTGGTGATGATGATGATGATGATGGTGATGATGATGATGATGATGGTGATGGTGATGATGATGATGCTGATGATAATGATAATTTACCAATCCATACGCATACAACTAATACACGCGGAGCGGCTCGTTCGCGAAGCCAACCGATCCGCCACCCCACCAGAGTACGATGTAGATTGGTTTTCGGGGGACGGGGGGACGGGGTGTCGCTCAGACCACCCCCCAACACAGTGACAAATGAAGTGCCCAGCCTTCAATCGACAATGCACCGGGGCCCACCAGAAACCCTTTGGAGTCACAGAGGGAGGCATTGGGCAAGTCCCCCCCGTGCCTGGTGCAGCCTAGGCACTGCACGCTACTCCCAATGCCAGAAGCGCCACCTCACGGCAGTGGCGTAGGAGGAGTACCCATCGGTCGGAAGAAGTAGGTAGAAACATGAAGTCGGAAGGCGTTGAAAGCAGATTGGGTTCCGTCCGCCCCCTAAGGAGGACGGAAAAGGTGAAGTCACTCGATCATTGAAGCAGGAGGGCGCGTACAGAAAATTTCGGGGATGGACAGACCTCCTTTTAGCAAAACGTGGTTTAGTGAAAACGACCTCGGCCCAAACCTGGCGGGCGCAAGCCTGGAAAATGACGGCCGCGGCGCCCTCCCGAGAACCGAAAACGGACAATCCACTGATCGACGTGTCAGGGTAGGAGGCCTGTCCACCCCCGAAGATTGGAATCTGGGAATCCAGAAACGCCTACTTTCAACGACCGACGGGCAGAGGCACTGAGAGCAAACTCACCGCGTCGGACCCCCCCGCCCTGCCCCCCCCCGCCCCCCGCGCGCCGCACGGCGCAGGGAAGGTGGGGCGGGGGGAAGCGCGAGCGGGGCGCTCTGGGTCGCTCTCCACCCCTGCTGGCAGCAGAGGAGTCCGGCCAGGTTCAGGTCGGGCATATCCCCGCACAGGCGCACTCTGGGCGAAGGAAATCATCGAGACATCGACAGGAAAAAGCAGCAAATAAGCGAGGAATCGTCCCCAGACTATTTTTCAACTATTTCTGAGTATTCCTCCTGTAGAGGGACAGGCCCGAAGTAAGGCAGGGCGCGAGACTGCTCTTTCCTTCCTGTGGGGAGGCCCTGGACGCAGGCCCGCCCATGGAGAGCTTGCGCTGGAACGGCCCACGGCAAAGAGTCCGGGCATCGGACTCAGACGAGGACCTCCCTGAAGACCGGGACGACACGCTCGTGAGAGGAGCCGTCCGCTGTCTCACTCCAGCAAGAGCCAGGAGTCAAAGGCCCCCAGAGGGAATCAGGAATCTCGCGGCCCAGGATGGGGTGAGCCAAGAGTCACAGACTGAATCAAGAGACACTGAAGTCAATCAAGAGTCATCTGACTGAATGAAGAGACACAGGCGTGAATCAAGAGTCACCGAAGTGAGTCAAGAGACACAGCAGCGAGCCAGGAGTCCCCGAAGCGAAACAAGCATCGCAAACACGCGTCCAGAAGCCATGGAAGCGCGACACGGCAGCGTGCCATGCTGGGGCGGCGAATGCGGAGAGACGCCCAAAGGCTCGTGCGGATTGCGTTGTGCTGCGCAGTGGCTGGCCGCCTATGGGGCCACCGGGGATCTCCCGAGACCTGAAGAGACTTTCGGAAACCAACGGACCGATCGCACCCGGAGCCCCTCACGAGGATGGGCGGCATCCCCCAGACTGTACTGCATGAGAGGTTCCGGCGCGAGCCGCTCGTCAAACCGGCTGGCCGCCGTCGCGCGCGGAGACCCCCCCATTCCTACGGGCTGGCATCCCCACCATTGCGCTGCAGGCGGCTATCGGCTCGAGCCGCTCCGCACTCTCGACCCACGAGGCCGTCTTGCGAACGCGTTCGAACTTCGGGGCGGGCCAAACCGACGAGGTTTGGGAGACCTGCAACGATGTAAGCATGCATCGAATGAGTTGCGCGCGAGTCCTGCCCCAAACCAACCATGCCATCCTGCACTCAAGTCGATGATGATGATGATGATGATGATGATGATGATGATGATGATGATGATGATGATGATGATGATGATGCTGATGCTGAAGCTGCCGCTGATGATGATACTGATGATGATGCTGATGCTGATGCTGATGCTGAAGCTGATGCTGCTGTTGATGATGATGCTGATTCTGATGCTGATGAGGATGCTGATGCTGATGACGATGATGATGATAATGATGGTGGTGGTGATGATGATGATGACGATGATGATGATGATGGTGCCGATGCTGATGCTGATGATGCTGATGATGCTGTTGATGCTGATGATGCTGATGACGACGACGACGACGACCACGATGATGATGATGATGATGATGATGAGGATGAGGATGAGGATGGGGACGAGGATGATGATGATGATGATGATGATGATGATGATGATGATGATGATGATGATGATGATGATGATGATGATGATGATGAAGCTGCTGCTGCTGATGATGAGTTGTAGGTGATGATGATGACGATGCTGCTGCTGCTGCTGATAATTATAATGCTGGTCATGATGCAGATAATGAAAATGAGGATGAGGATTATGATGATGGTGATGAGCAGGAAACGGGAGAAGGAGGAACAGTAGCAGGAAGAGGGTGATGCTTTCGGGCCTCTTCGGCGGCCCGCAAAGGTTGCCCTGAATTTCGGGAGGTGCCTCGAGGGCGTCGAGCAAATTTCTGGAGTCGTCTGGGTGAGGGATGCTGACGAGGAAGAGGGAATGGATGAGGAGGGAGGAAGATCGGGGGCGGCAAAGAGGGGGGCATCCAAGAGGGGGGGTGCAAATCATGGCCGGCGGCATGTGAGCGGGCGGCCCAGGGGGGCGCGGGGACGTGTTGAAATAAGAAGAGGCGCCATGAAACCTGGGGAAAAATCATGGCCCACGCCATGATATCCACCCCTCCCTAGTCATCACCCCCCTCTTTGCCGCCCCCGAGAAGAGCAGGATGCCCAAGAGCAGGAAAGAGGTGACGTCGGCGGGAGACAAGGCTTGCGGGAGCTGGCTCTGACACCCGCCGGCGCGTCGTCTCGCCCTCGGCTCGCCGGGTCGTCGCGCGTCGACCTATGCTTAAGTCGGGCCTGTCCCCCTACAGGGGGATTTTCGACGGAGAAACAAATACCCCTAAAATGCCCCCAAAATGGCCAACAAATATGCAACAAATAGTCCCCAGACTATTGTTTGACTATTTTTGCATATTCCCCCTGTAGAGGGACAGGCCCGACTGAATCCTATGCCTCCGACGCCGTGAGTGGCAGGAGCTCTCGTCCCCATCCCCAAGCGTCGGTCGTTTCCTGACGGAACCCCGCGGCCCGAGGACGGTCCCGAGGAGGCCCAGCTGGCGAGCAGCGTGTCTGCCGTGAGCTTCTCCGCGACGCCCCGAGGCCGGGGGACGCGTCGTGCGGAGGAGGGACAGAAGCCGCGCATCGGAGCTTCGAGCTGATCTCTTCGATCGGCGCTGGACCCCCTCCGTGGCGCGCGGAGCGCGTCGGGGGCGGCGCGGGAGGCCCCGCCAGCAGGGTCAAACGCCGACCCGAGACACCCTCGCGAACCCTCGACAGGTGTAGGACCGCGCGGCTTTTTCTTCGAGCGCGGCCGTCGTTCGGGGCACCTGCTCAGGAACGGAAGCATCGACCTCGAATCGGCGATCCATCGCCGACAGATGCACGGCAGACGTCCGATAGCGAATCCGCACGCTCCTGGGAGGGGTGGGGGGGGCTACGGGGCACCCATCGGCGATCCATGAGCGATTCGGGGCAGATGCGTCCCCCCTAAGCGTATCCCCTGGTGGTTTTCGGGTCCTAACTGCGGCCGCCGGCGGACGTTCGGGACGATCCGGGCACCCCCGCAACGCCCTCGGCGAGGCGCAGCCGCTGAAAGGCACCCCGAGAATGGAAAACAACCGAGAACCGACGAAAATGCTGGAGAACCTCGAACCTCTCCTTCTGAAACGTTGCCCCCCCCTGAATCTTTTGCCTTTCCCGCTCGCCGACCCCCGTCTCCCGGCGCAACGCCAGCGGGCCTTCGGCCCGCCCGCCGAAAGCGGGCTCCGCCCGCCCCCAAGGGCGGCGTGCCGGTTCAGAGGGCGAAGCCCCTGGGCCGGTGCCTCACTCCGACGGCTGCTTGAGCCAGTGCGTAGTGTCGATGCGCGGCAGGAAAAGGTAGGTGTCCACGCCGTACTCCTCGGCGGCACGCGCTCAGATTTCAGACGACGTGGCCCTGTCGGTCGCGGCGCTTGTCCTGGGTTTCGGCCTCTTGGTCCTGTCTTCGACCCCAGGACGGTCAAACATGCATCCAGGATGAAGATCTACGGGATTCCTGCAAAGGGGACGGCCCCTTCCCAAAGGCTTCCCGGGAGGCCCTCCTCGAACGCGCTTCTTGCTTACATCTTTTGTTCCCCATATCCTAAGATGGGGTTATTGTTCTTACTTAGACGGCTCCGGGGTACTCTTCCTCACCTCCTCTTCTTCCTCCTCTTCCTCCCTCAGTCACTCTCAAATTTACTAAGACTCACTCAGAACTACTCCGAT